ATGCATGAATTGTGATAAGAGTTGTACAAGCCCCCAATAAAATAATTTTAAAAAATAAAAATAAAATAAATTTAAGTTACCTTCACATACAGGAGATGCTGGGTACCAACCAAAATTATAGCACTGAATTAAATCAGATCCACTTAGATAATAATTTTCATGACAAAAGAACTGAACCACATCTCCTTCTTCATAGGTTTGCTTTACAGGATGAAAATAACCATTTTCAATTAACCTTAAGGAAGAGCACTTTAATTCTGAAAATTAAGAAATAAATAAAAAGAACAGGATGCTTTAATGTTCCCTGCTAGAGTAAAAGTCACTTTCCACTTTCATGCTCTATATGGAACAAAATCAATAAGATGTACACAATCTGTGTTAAATAAGAAAATATGAATTAATCATGTATCTGGCTATAAATACTTACTAAACATAACAGGCTTATTTTAATTTCACTGTGTGAACTGAAGCAGCATTTTCTTACATAAGGACTTTGTATGGGGAAAGGCTACGATAAACCATCATTAAAACCAGAAGGAAAACAATATATCTGAAACCTGGAACATAATGAGCGTGGCAACTGCTTAACACGTTGGTGTGAGAGGCAGACCTCAAAGGGAAGGTGGGTTGCATTCAGAAGCAGCACCTACTGGTACATGCGGGCGTGAGAGACCACCCATAGGTGTGGCACTCTGCCTCCTCCGTCTTCCTCCCTCCAGTTGTGTAGAAGCCAGGAGCACATTCGTATTGCACTTTATCGTTCACGTTGAACGTTTTCTGTGTTGTGGAATAATTTCCATGAGATAATTCAGGGGCCAAACATGTTTCTGAAAAAATGACACGTTATTTAGTTGGCAAACTTACCACTAAACCCAGGACAGCAAAACAGGAATCTCAAAATGCGTTTCTGTGGAACCTTCAGCACAGCAGAATAAATCCTCAGCATCACTGCAAGCAGACAGGGCTTGCCTGGTCACTCTCTTCCCGCCTTTTTGCTCTGTGCCTGGCAGCTTCACTTCTCCACGTTTCTACGCGAAACATTCTGGGTGACTGTACTTGACAAAAGGCCACAGTTCTAATAAAGGCTTATGCAGTGATTTTTGTTTTATTACTTACCACCTATGGATTTGTACAATGTAAATAATTTGCAAACATACTAAAAGTTTATGTGTCAACATTATTCCACTCTCTTAAGCACATCTAGCCTTGGTTTGAGGAGTCTTGGTGGTGCGAGGATGACACACTTGGCCTCTGAGCAGGGTTCTATTTTGTCACTTGAGTCCTCCGTGATGCGGAACCGACTCGAAGGCACCTACCAACGATACTGGTTTATAAAATAAGAGTGCGCAGGATCTCAAGTTCTTCTTACATGCAGATAATAATAATCTATCTATGCTCCAAGAAACAGGTACATTAAGATTCATTGATTTTATTTATTTATTAACACAAGGTGAAAGTGGCTGGGGTAGGTATGGTGTGCGGGCTGAGGACAAATGGATCAAGGAAAATGCCTAGGATTTGAGAGTAACCACATAATACCAACATCTTGCTTTTGTAGACATAGTGAAAAATATGTCTACATTATTTTAATGCCTAAAAATAAGAAGAAATTATGAGCCTCACAAACCATCATCTTCAATTTTAGAAATGATTCTTAAGCACATACCATGTTCCTTTCTACAGCTTGGTTGAGAAGACCATCCACTGGAGAGACATTGAACAACTTCTTCCTCCTTCCCTCCCATGGTTTTGTATCCTGAAGCACAGTTATAGAGCATATTCTCTTGAATTTTGTACAATAACTTTATATCGGAGACATAACCATTTTCCACGTCAGGCCTGGTGCATTTTTCTGAGAGAGAGAGAGAGAATATATATATATATAAACCTCAATAAGGAAATTTACTTTCTACTAAGTTTTTAAAATGAAGGGTATAATCTTACTTTTAATTAAAATTTGAAAGCTTAAAAAATAACCTTCACTCCTCAATTCCTTGCTTTAATAAATAACTTGGGACATATCCTGCGTCTATCTTTCTTGACAATGGGTTCAGATGATACTGGTTTTCATTCCATTTACAAATGTCACCTGTCATTGCTGCCACTTCTAGCACGTGTTGTTGTTGTTGGCGTCAGTTCTGAGCCACAGGGGTCCAGTGTGCAACAGCATTTATGCAGCCTTAGGAAATATAGCCAGAGCGCTTCCTCTAATCAATTGTCATTAATAGAAAACTAAGTAATTCCTTTTGGATGTACAGTACTTCCTCATATTAAGTCCACTGTGATACCTTTAAACATTCAATACTAAAACACATACCAACTTTATAGCTCCTAAGATAATTGCAGACATTTTATCTTACTGTGCGAACTGTAGACAATCTGTCTCTCTGCAACTACTAGAGTAAGCCAAAAAGTAGTATTATGAATAAATCATAGAACCAATTATTAAAAATGTCAGGATTGCCATTATTGTTTCTTATCCAAACCTCCATCTAAATGTATAGGCTTTTGAAGGTGTCTCTCTGAACTTTCTCTCAAAGAATGCAAAGGTTGAAACACAGTCGGCTTTCTTGAGGGACTCAGGTCATGTTCCCTTTAAAAATGTCCCCTGCGTTTGGGGAATAAAATTAGAGGTAAAATCAGTGCTGTAGGGTGGTTCCCAAGGAAATACTCCAAGGACAGCTCTTGAGACCCTGCAAGAGTGAGCTAGGAAAATTGTTGTGATGGGGAAAAAAATTCTCGGCACAACTTTCCTGTCTTTTTTCTCATTAATACAATTTTTAATTTTCTTAAAACTTCATCATAATAAGCCCCTGGGATAAGTTCCTGTGATCACTCTGTGTCCTTTGAGAAAATCTATCAAGACTAACTCCCTCAACTTCATGCAAAGCTGCCACCATATCTTCTGAGCTGCCCTCTCTGCTTTGAATCTAACTGACTGAATCCATCTCTTTGGAAGCCACTGTTTGTTTGGATCTGTTTTTAAAGGCGCCATACCAAAACTAAGACAAGTATCTGCCGAGAGAAGTTGTCTGTAGCCATCCACTGATCACAGAGGCTTTTTAAGCATGCTTTTGTTTGGAGTAAACCCATACTTGTTTGAACTGGAACTCTGGTGTTGATGTGTTTTGCCTTTCCCTCGTGTACTTTGGAATCACCTAGTTTCACAGTAAGTCTGAGAAGCCAGAACATGGAGACCATGCCTAAAGTTCACACAGGTTATTCAAAACCTGTAAGTGTATAGAACTACTTTTTGATAAATAATTGCTGAATTTATGTATGAAATAATAAAACAATCTTACCATTGTGCAGGACCTTGGTATTTTTATAGGTCCCATCATGGGTGTTCCAAAAGGTTAAAAATAAAACACTTTTTTTAAAGGTTATTATTAACCAATTCTATGTACTTTGTAACATGAACTCCATAACAATTTTCTCATTCATGCAGAAGTACTGATTCTACTTTATAGATAAAAACTTAAGTTCAAAAAGTTTAAGTCACATTTCAGTGGCCAAGCTGGATTCATATGCAAGCAATCCAACTTAGAGGCTTACAGAAACCTTTCCACTCCACTGCTAAACTTGAGTTATCCTCTTTTTGCTCCTAAGTCATTGCCTTTTGGTCCACGTTGAAAGAGGTAATAAGCCTAAAGTGATTAATGTATTTTTAGACTGTAGTAATGAATGAGATTTATTTATTGGAGTTAATATATGATTTATGTTAATACTAAACATGCAATATCATTTTTATGCCATCCACAAATCATGGAATAGATAATGATCTAAATAATATGTTTGCTAAATATATCAGTCACAGTGTGGTAGTCACATAATCTGGTGTCAATTTGAGAGGATTATGAGTGACAGGGTGGAGTCTAGTCTGTCAATCAGATCATAGACAATGATGCCTCTGTGTGGGCATGGCTTACTCCTGAGAATTCTGGGAAATCTGGATTTTCATTCTTGGAGGCAGGAGAGGCTCTCTGCTTCCTCCCTGGGATACATTGCAGCTGACAAGACACATGGAACTACTCTAGTGTCCTGAGCTGGAGTAGCCATATGGACCTGTGCTGATGAAACCAGATCTCTGAAGCTGGAGAAACCATGTAGAGGGCCCTGTCAGAACTGAGATGCTTATACTGGATCCAAAGACTTTCTACCCACTGGCCTGTGATGGCCCTGCATTCAGTAGTCATTGCATGTGTTTTGTGAGTGTGTAGAGGACTTTATAGATTGGTTTCGGATGTGTGGGCTAATATAGGACTTATGGGCTTGAACTGGGTTAGGTTGAGATGCTTTCTTAATGTATAATTACCCTTTATATAAAACTCTCTCTTATACACATGTGAGTTTCTATGGATTTGTTTCTCTAGTGTACCCAGACTGACTCACACAGCAATCTCTTCTGGACGAAATTGACTTAACCGTAGCCCTTACTCTGAACAAGAGAATGTAGTAGGACCATGGTATAATCTGACATGGAAAGATGAGATGAATCAATCATATCCCCTTCTCGAAAATGTTAAGGGAAAAAACCATATTTTTCATGCACTTTACGAGAAGTAGGTACTCAAAGAAGAGTTGTGCCTTACCAACTATAAAACATTAGAAAGACAATCTTGCCCTGTTTGATGCCAATATCTTACATATTTTTCTGACTTCCTATGCACAATTCTCCATACAAGAGCACTTAACTTAATGTAGCTCAATTGAATCTCTGTTTCTTGAAATGTGAGCAGTAACAGTTTAAGTAGTTACCCTTTTTCTCTTTGTGGGCTTTTATGAAACACAAAGATCACAGGTCATTTTTAAGCAAAAATAAAAATGAAATCTTCATGTGGAGTCATTATTTATAAAATTGCAAAATATGCCTTCATTTTGTAGAAAGAGAGTGTAACCTTAATTTTGCTCTTATCTATGCAAAAGTTCAACCATGTTCCATCTGTTATTAGGCCCTGATTTTTTTTTAAACATTTTATTAGGGGCTCATACAACTCATCACAATCCATACACACATCAATTGTGTAAAGCGCATTTGTACATCATTCTCAAAACATTTTCTCTCCACGTAAACCCCCGACATTAGGTCCTCATTTTTCCCCTCCCTCCCCACTCCCCCCTCCCTCATGAGCCCTTGATAGGTTATAAATTGGTATTTTGTCATATCTTGCCCTGTCCGACGTTTCCCTTCACCCACTTTTTGGTTGTCTGTCCCCCAGGGAGGAGGTCACATATAGTTAGTTCCTTGTAATCGGTTCCCTCTTTCCTACCCACTCTCCCTTTACCCTCCCTGTTTCGCCACTCACACTACTGGTCCTGTAGGGCTCATCCGCCCTGGATTCCCTGTATTTCCAGTTCCTATTTGTATCAGTGTACATCCTCTGGTCTAGCCAGACTTGCAAGGTCGAATTCGAGTCATGTTAGTGGGAGCGGGGAGGAAACATTTAGGAACTAGAGGAAAGTTGTATTTTTCATCGTTGTTACATCGCACCCTGACTGCTCATCTCCTCCCCGAGACCCCTCTGCGAGGGGATCTCCAGTGGCCTACTAACGGGCTTTGGATCTCCACTCCGCACTCCCCCATTCATTCACTATGGTAAGATTTTTTGTTCTGATGATGCCTTATACCTGATCTCTTCGACACCTCGTGGTTGCATAGGCTGGTGTGCTTCTTCCATGTGGGTTTTGTTGCTTCTGAGCTTGATGGCCGCTTGATTACCTTCAATCCTTTAAGACCCCAGACGCTATACTTTTTGATAGCCGGTAGGCCCTGATTTTTATGAACTGAATGATTAGCGTATTGAGGACATTGTGTGCACCCATTTGGCTGACTTACTGAAGCACTTGGGTTCCGGAGACCAGCCTTCTGCTGTACATGTGCTCTGTCCTTCTTGTTTCCCAGCTTCAGTCGTATAGCCAGCCAAGCAGAAGAAGGGCAGTTTTTTGGCGATGCCCATTGGAAAGTAGTAACTTTTAAAAGTATAGTAAAAGAGGGCAATTCTTCCATTCTCCATAGTGGGAAGATCACAGGGTTTCTCTGAAATAAGCAAATAGAAGGCTGAAAATTGAAAAAGACACCTCAAACCCTAGAACTCATACTGCAGTGAGATAACACTGTGTCTTGAGATGAAACATGTTTGCAGACAATCTAGGGCCTAATTCCATCACCTGCCTGCTGTCGTGTGTGTTTGTGCAATTGATAATTCATTCATTTAAGGTGTGACAATCCTAGTATTATTTTTCTTTTCAGTCAGAATTAATCTGCCAGATGCCCCCGTAGTTGATAGGGTAAAAAGAGGCAACTTCCTCAGATAGGCTTTCCTTGATTCCGTAAAAAACCCCTGTCCAGTAGAAATAGGACAGGGCTTCATTTATGAGAAAATTGAATTTAAAAATAATAGAATTTTTCCATGGACTTTTTGAAGCCTCCCTCATATAATATGGAATGTGAGCCACTTACATAATTTTAAATGTAATTTATAAAAACCAAGACGTAGCAGATAATGTTCACTTTAATAATACATTTTTAACCCAATGGATTCAAATTATTTTCTTTCAAAGTTTTTGAAATGCAGCTTGTATTTACACTTACAGCATATCTCAATTTGGATAAGCCACATGACAAATATTCAACAGCTACAAGTGGTGAGTGACCACTGTGTTTAACTGAATAGTTCTACAGCGGATCACACTCGCATAAGATACCTAACTCCAGGATTTTGAAAGAAAAAGGCTTCTACACATTAATATTTAACTCCAAAGACAAACAAAAACCATTGCCATCGAGTCAAGTCCGCTTCATAGTGAGCCTATCAGACAGAGTGAGTGTGCCAGGCTGTACACCCTTATGGAAGCAGATGGTCACAGCTGGAGTACCTGCTGTGTTCGAACCACTGACCTTTTGGTTAACAGTGGAGCATTATGCCACCAGAGCTTCTAAGACAGACAATTAAAATGTTTTAATAGAAAGAAAGGAAAAAAACATTTGAGCAAACACTTTCCAAAGCAGAATATGCACATGGCAGAAAGCTAATAAAAACTATTCGTTTTCAAAGAAATGCAGATTCACACCATTAGGAGATAATAAAGCATATCAACTAGAACGAGTGAAATGAAAATGGCAGCCTGCATCACTAATTAGAAAATATGTGGAAATTGGACCTCTGATACTACTGTTACGTGGAAATAGAAATTGGGACACTCATGTAAGAGAAAATGGGCTGACACGATTTATTTAAACTGGACATGTGCATGCCACATCATCCAACAGGAAAGCATTAAAAACACCCACAAAATATGAAAACTGCTGCACAATTCATACGGAAACAATCCAATGACGGGTAGACAAATCACATTAGAATATGCCTACAGCAGGATGACACAGAAATAAGGTGAATAATGTGTCTTACAGCATAATACTAATAAGAGAAACCAGACACACATGAATATATATTGCATGAATTTACATAAAAGAGGACAACAAACTGCATGGCAATAGGAATCAGGATAATTAACCACGGAGTAGTGTGAGGGGAGAAACCTAAGAGGCTTCTAAGGTACTACCAATATTCTATATCTTGATCTCATTAATGTAAAAAATATCTAATAATTTACAGACATCATTATCTTTGCATTTTCCTATATTACCCTCAATTAAAACATTTACTTAAGAATATCTGCCCTTGAATAGAAGACCTTAAAATTATGAAATGGCTTAAAGAAAGACATTTGAACCATCTCTAGGTGTTGTGTCGGGAGGAAGGATGCTTGGAGTCAATGCCTTGGATCATTGCTGTCGGTTTTATTGTCACAAGAGACATATAAGGTAATCATAGTGCCAACCCCTGCTGGCATGGTAAGTAACCTAACAATACTAGCAGAGTCTAGTGGAGGGGAAGGGTAGAGGGAAAAGAAAGACCCCCCCCCCCAAAAAAAATGTGCAAAGTAATCCCTCGAGATTCTGATCACTCTTTTCCATCCCCTAAGTAAGTAGATGCTGAAGGAGCTCTGGTGGCACAGTGGGTTCCATGCATGATCAGCAGCTCTATGGGAGAAAGAGGCAGCTTTCTACTCCCACAAAGACTCACAATCTCAGAAATCCACAGGGGCGGTTCTCATGTGTCCTGTAGGATTGCTGTGAGTCACAATCAACGTGATGGTCGTGAGTCTTGGTTTGGGTTTGATTCTGACCCATAGCAACCCGTTGATCTTAGCAGAACTGTGCTCCGTAGGGTTTTCAGTGGCCGCTTTTTCAGAAGCGATGCAAGGACTCTGTCCTGAGGCACAATTTTATGGGCTCAAATCGCATCATTTCAGGTAGCAGCCCCACTGGTACAACAATACAAAGAAAGACAGCAAGCTGGAAACATAATTTGGCAGCACATGCAGACACTAAGTACAGATATTGACCTCACACTCCTTTAATCAGCGCTTATCAAATAAAATGTCCCAGAGCAGATAAGGTCTAGCAATATTCACTTCAGAGGAAATGTGTAGTTAAGAGAGAATTAGAAGTAACTAACAGGTCCATAAGGAGCCCTGCCAGCCCAAGGGTTAAAACACAATGTCAGCCCAAGGACCCACCAGCTGTTCCATGGAGGAAAGACAGACATTCAGCTTCTGTAAAGATATACAGCACTAGACTGGTTAGGGGGCAGGTCTACCCTGTTTTAGGGGGTCCCCTGTGAGTCTGAATTAACTAAAAGACAGTAAGTGTGTTTGGGTGGTTAACAGGTCTATCATTTGGAGAGTTAACAAGTAAAATATACGACATACTATGCAGGATTTAATAACAACAAAATGCATTCAGCAACATGGAAATAAATAATATTGAGTAAAATAAAATAGGAAGATGAAATCTATAGCAAGATCCCATTAATGTGACGCAAAAACACGCACATGTGTTTTTCAACCAACCCAAAGCACACTCACTGCCACTGAGTCAATGCTGAAGCATAGTGACCCCCACTCACCCCCTGGGGATTTCCTAGATTGTAACTGTTCATGAGAATAGAGAGCCTCCCAGCCTTTCCCTGGCATTGGTGCTTCCAAACTGTAGACCATGCAGATCGCAGCCCAACCCGTAACCACTGTACCGCCAGAGCTCCTGTGTTTCTCAAAGGAGTTACATATTAAGAAAATATCAAACATTTACATTGTAATAGGTATCATTTTGGTGGTGGGGTCAGAAAGTGAATGCGGATCAGGGATAAAAAGAGAAAAAATGTATAAATAAAGCAAGCCTGAGACTTTTCATAAACTAGTGATGATTGCATAGCACGAAATGAAAAAGAGTCTGATTCACTGAATTCTTGCTTCTGAGGACCCCAGAGGGACCAGGGAAAACAAAAGAATAAGCATGGTTCTGTCCTTAAGCAACTCACTATCCCCCTCCCCCACCCCCACCCTCATCCCGCACCCAGATGATAAAGGATTAGCTAACTAGAATATTAGCTAGACTACTGGAATGTCATTCTGGTATACACAGTAGATGATTGTACAAATATCTGTTGCTTCTCTATTTGGAGAGAAAAATAAAACCAAAGGCAGTTAACTATTCCGGTAAAAATCAACACAGACTTAAACAGACATTTGTAGAAGTGTTGTGGTAGTCCAATCAACAAAAGCTCAATCATCACTTATAAGATATTTTCTTTCAATAAATTCCCTAAGGTGTCTATATTAGAAAAATCTTCTTGCTGTGGTTTCCTACTCCGTGTGTTCATTCTTAAACATGAGTAATGCCCCACCTGCCTTCACAACCCTTGTGTCTAACAGCACTGGCCGCCGCTCCTCAGCAACCCACGCCGACAGCTCGCCTCCATTGCCCACTTGTCATTCTCACCCCAGTCGCATTCCACTCCTGGTACATGCGGGGTGCAGCCTGCCTATACAGATGCCTAGTGAATGGCAAGGTTTGGGTTCCCAGAGGGTCCTGGTTTACATATGCTCTCCCAAAGTAAGTATTAAACAAGTCCCTTTTCATGCGCAAAAAACGACTTTGTCTGATCCCTTACTGATTGCTCCTTAATCGCTTCAGACTGAATTGGCACCAAAATCAACATGTCAAGAGTCAAAAAAATGTTGGGATATCTTTTCTTTTTCAAATTCTCTACATGAAACTCCCCTTATGAACAGACAAAGCTATTCAAATTTATTCAAGGTTATAAATGAATTCTAGCATGAAATTAGAATTAAGGTTGAAATGATACTCCTAAATATCTCTATTGTTAACTTCAAAACTCTTTAAGGTATTTAGATTCTGGGCCCTACGCTCCTAAACCTGGAAGTACAAAGATTTGAGTTTTTGTGTTTCAAATTTATGCTAACAAAAGAACAGTTTATTCTTTTGCCCAAAGGAAAAATTCTACTTAAATATTAAAAGAAAGTGTACTGGGAAGAACTTTGTATAAAATTGGGAAATACAATTTTAAAATTACATTATTTCCAAGAATGCTAGACATTCCATGTTATTTTCAGAGAAAAAAAATTTAAGAATTAACCTTACCTTCAGCATGAAGTTCTCCTGAGATGATTAATATGATAATTAAAGCCAACTCTTTGGATTCCATCTTCAGTGGTGTTAAAAAATTTAACAATCTAAAGCACCTCCTCATTGAGTACACAATGCTTCCCTTGCAAAAAAGTTAATTATCCACAAAACCTATGTAACTTCCTTTGTAATGAGCTTTAAATTTAAAAATATTTTCAAACAATGCTGAAATAGTAACTATAATAGCTGACGCTACTTTTCACGACAAGTTCAATAGGAACATTATAACTGATAAGAACACCATAGCATAAATAATTAACCCAGACCATCAAAAACAGGGTAATTCCCAGCTTTCACTCCCAACTGAAGGCCCATGGAGTAAAGTTCACTTGTGTCCATCGATTTCTTTACTTCCACTGAGCAAGTGAAGAAATGAACATAGGCACATGGGATAACACATGGTGATCTGTCCAGGTTTCACTGCTTAAAAAGAAAAATGATCTTAATCATTTCCAGCATTGACAGAATAATACTAGTAACAGCAGTAGTATATCTAACACGTAGCACCTGTCATCTGCCAGGAGACAGGCACTGTACTACATTATCATTCGTTTGTAAAAAGGTGTCTGAGAGTCCAGTATATCCAGCCATGTTCTCCCCCTGTTGGTTTACACGATACAGCAGTGAAGGAACAGATTAAAATCCCTTGCCTCGTAGAGCTTACATTTTAATGGACTTTGATGTAAACTGAAAAATAACAGAAGTTATTTTTATCTCAATTTTGGAACTTCTGATTAAAATGGAAATGCTCGATACCATGAATGCAAAGAACAATGGATTCTCAGAAAGGGAGCACTTCTTGAGAAACTGGTCCAAACAGGAAACAAAACACACTAGCACACCAGACATTTCCTTCCAATCACCACTTTTACCACTCCCCCCATGTCATATACTATTTTAAATATCATAGGTATTTAAATATTTTAAATATAATAGATAATTTTGGTACACTATATAAATAGAATCATATAGCATATGTTGAGCAGTTTTTTCCATACTACATAAATGGAATCATACAGTACAAGGAAGTACCCCCCAAAACAGGAATTGTGCTGGTTGGAGAGGAGCTGTCAGAGTACACGTTTTCCCCACTAGGTGAGCATCAAGCGCCTTGCTCTGAGTTAGTGCATCTGGTGGGGTTGCTGGGAAGGTTCTCTCTGGCCGCAATGAATGTTTTCACAAAAACTGTTTCACTCGAACCGTGTGTGTGTGTGTGTGTGTGTGTGTGTG